CTCCTTGAAACATTCTGGCTTTCAAACGGGGAAGAGTCAGGGCCGCTTTGCCTATGACCTCTGGCCCCTGCTGTCTCTCCGAGATCAAAACTAGATGCTTCTGCTACTGCTGTGGCTGGAAGAAAGCTCCAGCTCACACAGCTGTTGCTGCAGTTTGCTCATTCCTGTACCCAGCTCTCACATGACTGGCAGAGCCCATGTCACGTGACCAGTGTTAAGGGAGCCCAGCTAACGTGGTGTTTGTGGAGGCTACTTTAAGAAGGTAAAACTCAAAATGTGAGATATTAAATTAGAGCGATCTTTGAAGGACATTGTGCATCTCTGAATGATAGATGTCCACCACGGGAAAGAATTTTCCAAATGTAGCAAGAGGTTATAGGTGTCGTCAGCCAAAACAATGACAAAGAAGAAACATGACGAGTAGCCACTATCAATATTCCCTGTCTCATTTTTCTCATTGTCTCACAAACCACTGGCAACTCCTTGAATTCATCATTCCACTAAAATGGAAACTTCTTGGTCATCTCTATTTTTGGTCTGTTTTATTTACCAATGAATCCCAATTGCCAAGAAAGCACGTGGCACATAGCAGGTGCTCCATACATATTTGTTGAATGAATAAAAGAAATTCATTTGCTGCACGAAAGAAAGACAAAGCTTCAGGTGGAATGTGGGTATAGAAAACAGCTTGAGACAACTTTAAGCTTGATTCAAACACCTACAGCAGGAGAAGCAGCAGTGTGAACCTCTCTCTCAACCACTAGGAATTAAAAAGAGTGTTAAAATAGTGTTGGAAAACCAAGGTCTAGCAGAAGGTGGGAAAGGGGTAGCTGGGGCAGGAAATCCAACACGAAATCTAATGAGTTCAGTGTAATGAGTTCAATACAAATTTAGTGACTGACAGCAGATGTAACTTCTGAATTTTCACTACTACATTAGCCATGTTTTATGAATCTGTGCTATCACCTAAAACAAATTTTATAAATATTCAAATTAGCAGACATAAGGGTTAGGATGTACATTTCAAAAAGATATCCCTTTTCCATAGCCCAGCTGAGTGAGCTCTCATCTTCCTGTACCTTGGGTGGCAGAAAGCATAGCGGGACAATGACCCATGACAAAGAGCAGAGCACAATAAAATGCAGTCGAGACCTCTAATCTTTGCCTAAGCAATTCATCCAGGAAGTTCTGTAACTCACCAGGTGTTACAGTTTACAGCCCAGGAATAAACAAAGGTCCATAAGACAGCTCCATAATTTCTCCTTCACCAAAGATGATTTCCATCTAAAGTGGAGACTCATATTCTAAGTTTCTTATTTTTTTTTTTTAAAGGGGGATTTATAAAATCCAGTTTGGTCAGTGTGACCTTTCTCTCCACTTTGCTACATTTTACAAACACATACATGTATTCCTAAACAGTACTGCACCAGTCAGGCAACAGAAATCACTCTAGTTAATTTAAATAGGGAGAGATTGAATACAGGAAATTAGGAACCTGCAAAATCTTTGAAAAGAATGGCGTAGTGAGCCTCAGACTGGGCCTTTAAGAAAGTCTCCCAGAAAAACACCACCACTGATGTGGAAGCTGTCACCTCTGCCCCAATCAGCTGGCCACCACTGGGACTGAGTTCAAGGACACAGGGGTTAGCTGGAAGCCAGGGGTCCAAGTTCTTTGAATTGAGCAACTGAAAGGGAAGGCCCTTTAGTAAGACCAGGAGCAGGCTTGGGAGGTGGGAATGCAGCCAGAGTTCTGTTTCAGTCATGAGAAATTCGAGATAACCTATGAGATATTCATGAGGAGGTGCTGAATAAGAAATAGCATATGCAAGTGTGGAGGTAAAGGGAAGTCTAAACTGGAGATTTCAATTTAAGTGATTTCATACTACATAAGCATGCTGCCATTTGCTTTCTTTTTTTAAACTCAATTTTACTTCTGAGATCACCAACTTCTTGAGTGACGACTGTATGTATTCACTTTAACTCTGGCTCAGTCTTCAAATCTAGGGTAATCTAGCGTCTATCTCCAAAAACTCCACTGAAAGTGTTCTGAAACAGGTCACCCAGCATCATCCAAGTGCAATATCGAACTTTTTTTTTCAGTTATTTCTACAACATTTGGGGCTGTTAATTACTTCCTGCTTCTCAGGAGTGGATCTCAGAAAACACTAACTGTCTCAGGCACAATCCCAGAAGAGGTTATGAAGCAAGAGAAGCAAGCGTGGTCCTGGTTCACTAGAACAAGACACCCCAAGGCAGACTCATTTCTCTTGTCGATCAGATTGATGGTTGGTAGATCAAGCATTTCTTGATTTCAGCAGGGCATCTATATCTCTTACAACATTCTTCTAGCTAAAGGGGGAAGATATCTTGGGTAAATTCACAGATGACACTGTGAATGAGGGAGGGAGGTCTTCGGCACCTATGTCCTGAGCTGTGCTCATGGCAAGTTGGAACATCAGGCCAGGAGTATGTTTTAATTCATGGAGCTGACTACAAAGGCACAGAGAGTCCAACAACCCATTTGCAAGCACAGCTGGGACACTCCTAAGGCTTAGGTTTTCCAGAAACACAAATGAGCCAAGAGTGTGGTTTAAAACAAAGCTCAAACATCTTTAGGCAGCATTAGTATAAGAAGGCTGTACAAAGGGGTAATCATAGTTCACATTTATTCCTTCTAAACTTCATTTCACAAGAGACTGGGATGGACGTATTCTGGGTTGGCATACAATACCTGGAGCATGATATTTTATTCTAGAAATACATTTTGCTTTGACAAAGAAGAGTGTGACTAGAGGCTCATGGTCAGGATAGTGACAGACCTGTAACTATATGTACAGAATCTAGAAAAGAAGGGCAACAAAGCTATTACTTTACTAGATATGACAACCAAAACGAATACAGAGGATCCAAATATTTCATGAAGAATCTTTTGGCATCTCTCTCTCTCTCTCTCTCTCTCAAGGGTCTGTGGCCGCTGGCTCTTTCTCAGGCCCCGCTTCTCTCCGGGCCGAAGTGAGATTCTAGCCCCGGGTCCAGGCGCCGGGAGGCGGTGGGGATGGAGCCCAGGCCGCCGTGGGTGCGGGTACATCAAGGGAGGCCCGGTGGGACGAAACGCCGGCGGCACCAGGACAAGGGGTTGGAGCGGAGGTGGGGCGTGGTCAAATCCGGGACAGGGGGCAAGGCGGAGGCCAGGGCAAAGGGGTGAGGGGGGCCAGGGCAAGGGGGGGAGGGG